CCCCCAAAGGGGGTTGGGGTGGGGACACCTCCCCCTTACCAGGTGAGTCACCCCAGCGCTGTTTGTCTCCGAGGTTCCTGCCCCTCCGCAGCTCCCCCCGCCGAGCCCCGCTCCCCGCAGACTCCAGCCTGCCAGCCCCTCAGCATCTGGGGCAGACCCAACTGCTGCTGCCCTCCCCCCTGGTGCAGCGGTACCTGGAGCACCTCCTGCTGTCCCCTCCTCCCCAGCTGGGCTATGAGGAGGCTCTGCTCAACCCCTACTCCTACCACAAGGTAAGCGATGGGGGCGAGCCCCCCCTTTCGTGGGCAGAAAGGTAGAGATGGGCAGGGGGCTGCTGCACTCCCAGCACCCTCCTTCTGTCTGTGCTGGGGTGGCCCCCTGGCTCTGGGGTGCCCTGCCGTGGGGTGGCAGGGGCCCTGTGAGGTTTGACCGTGGCCGCTCTGTGTTTTGGTTGCAGTTTGGCTACCAGGATGGCGCTCACCAGCTCCCCAGTGGCACAGCCAGGCAGAGCCCCGAGACCTCCTCTCTGCTGGGCCGGGTCCCTGCCCAGGCCCTTTTTGGGGCCGGCCCTGTGCCCTCCTATGGCAAGCAGCCAGGAACGGATGGGGGGCATCTCTTCCAGGACTTGGGCATGCTCTCCCTGCCCAGAGAGAAAGCCGGCCGCCCAGACCCTGCTGGCACCAAGCTCCAGCACAGCTTGCGGCTCCCCAGTGACTACAGGGACACGGAGGAGAGGGAGCAACCAGTGCCCCTGGCTGCCCAGCCACCCCCTGCACCGACAGGTACCGTGTCCCCCAGCCAGGCACCAGCCCTCATCCCCATCCTGTCCCCACAGCCACATTCCTCGTGGCTCAGACTCTCCCTCCTCTTTGGCTTCATGCCTGTGGCCAGCATATGCCCCCAACCCCACCTGCCCCGGCTGCTGCGTCCCCATCCCATGGTCCCTGTGCGGATGCAGGGCATTCGACCTGATGCCGCGTCCTCTTTGCAGACGCTGCCCTGAAGAGACTGGCCTCCCTGCTGGCCAGCTACGGCCTGGGGCTGCCGGAGCTGAGCCCCCAGCAG